CAAACAGTGTTATGAAGACTGAAAAAAATTAACACACCGGGAAAATATTGATCAGAGCTACCAAATTTCAGTTAGTTTTACATCTAATTCACCTCAGCATTCTTGGTAGCTTATTTTTTTCTTACTATACCTTGGAATAATTTCTAGCACCCATCTGCTTTCTTAATTCTTTAATGAGTTAAATACAATCTCTGCAATGTGTTTATCTTTTAAAAAGAAAAATGGAGGTGAAAGCAGCCGTAGGCTACGGCAGCACGCGGGAAGAGATCGCTGTCGGCAGAATTCTAGACTCCAAAGCAGCAGGACACACTGTGCTGAAGGAAAGTTCTCACAATCAGAACTCTCCCCAAAGGGTGAAATCTAAAAGTCCCTTTTTGTTTCCGTTTTTTCAAATCTGAGAATTCCCCATGGAGATCCCATGGCATGGGATGTAAATTTTCTTGTCCTGCTTTGGCTGCCGGTTGGGAGCCTCCGGCCACTGTTGAGGGACACCAGCCCATGGGTGGGAACTGTTAACAGAAGAGATGGGGGCATCTTACAGAAGGGAGGGGGACCAGATGATCTCTGACCCAGCAACTTGAGGAGTGATGCCGTGTTGGGGTGAAGGTGTGTATGGGTAATCCCTAGAGAACACCCATTTATACAAATGTATCCTTGCAGTTTTGCGGCCCTTAGATTATATATGGCAGGGGTGTTTGCATCAGACAATGGTGTCTTAGGAAGCTGACTGACCAAAGGGATTCAGTTTTGAAGTATTTACGTGGATGACATGCAAATTTTCTGTCTGGAGATTTTTAATGTTTTTCCCCAAGACATGCTGTTTCGAGTTAAGGTAAAACTGGCATGTTTATTTTGGTTATTACCATTCTGAATTAAAGCAAGGGCACGCTGCACTCTGAAACGACCTGTGACCTTCGCCAAGGTCACCCATTTTTCTGTGGGCCCTAAGAGGATGAGGTGTTTCCACCTGTTACAGCCACTTTATATTTGGAGGGGGCTGCTCAGCAACACCCTGGTTAATGAGTCCCTCACCCTCTTGTGGGTGGCCAAAAGACAGCCCCAGGGCATTTGGGAAAAAATTCCACACCCCACAGTTCTGGGGCCACTGAGAACTCAATGAGCCAGGGAGGGCAAGAGACTTTCTCAATGACTGGCATTTTAAAATATTCATAAACTCATTTACTGTGAGAGCAATGGGTTAAGAGCCCAGGACTGCGATCACAGTGGAAGACTTTAACTACGGGACAAGTGATTTCATGCCTCCGTTTCCTCATTTGCAAAATGGGGATGCGCATGTCCGCACCTCGGGGTTGCACATGCCCGCACCTCGGGTTGCACGAGGTTGGAAAGACAATGTGTGTTAGAGAGCCAAGCACAAGTCCTGCCACTCATGGCTCACGCACACCACGCTGTCTGTGTATCTGGGAGGGCCGAGGTCACCTCTGTTGGTGCAGACATGGCTCTTTAAGGGATTCTATTGTTAGGTCCATCACACTGTGTGCTGAGCCCAAAAAGAATAGTGAAAAGGCATGTAAACAAAGGGAAGAGATCCTGGTTCAATTTTGTTTTATTTCCCACTTTTTTAAAAACAAAAATTTAAATTATTAGAAACAAGCTTGCTTCACATGTCAATCCCAGGTCCCTATCCCTCCCCTCCTCCCCCGCTCCCCCACCAGCCCCTTCAATTCCCCATCCCATCCCTGCTCCGCTCCCCAGAGAGGGTGAGGTCCTCCATGGGGGATCTCCAAAGTCTGTCATATCATCTGGGCAGGGCCTAGGCCCTCCCCCGTGTGTCCAGGCTGAGAGAACATCCGGGAGAGGACACTTTTAAGCAGTAAACCCATGCTTTAATTTTTCTGGTAGAAATAGATCCATCCCCCAGTCGTGGCTTGCTGAAGTCACATTCTCTGACAGAAATGTGTTAAATACATTACACGGGGGGGGGGCAACAACCTGACAAGTTTATCTCTAAACTAACTTCTGTCCTCGCCCTGACACTTATGGGTCTGTGTGGGCTGCAGCCTACATATTCTTCCGGCATGAGGAGGGAATGGTGGTGATGGGAACAGGGAGGCCACACCATGAGCAGAAACAGCTGGCTTAGGGACAAGTGGATATTGCTAACAAAAAAAGAGCATTCAACGGATAATTTGAAATTTGGACAATCTTCCTGAAGTGCTGAAATCAGTCTCTTAGCATTACCAAAAGTCAAGAAAACACTTCCAGGCAGACGAGAGGCAGACGTGTGCCTTGGAAGCAGACCTAGGTGGGTGTTATATTGGCCTTTCTTCTCTCAAGGCCGCTTTTGAAGGATCCCAGCTGATGTTTGCCGATGACATGCACGGCAGGTGTGAGCCGTGGTCCCTGCCGAGGGAGACTGGGACAACCCCAAGTCACCACATCAAATGTGTGTTTTTTTTTAAGGGAGGGGAGTGATGGAGGGTCTCTAAAGACAACTCCAGATACTGCTTTGAAGGGTTAGGCAAGATCTATAATGGAAATCAAATGGAAAAAAAATCCCCTTGGACGTGATCCTACATACGTGAGAAGTAACATGTATTTTAAAGATGGAATGAAGGTCTGGGCATGCGGCTCAGTTTGGGGGAGAACTGGTGTGGTATGCCAGGAGCCCTGGGATCTACCCAGTTCGCCACCCAAACCAAGCAAGCTGGCCCACCTGTAATCCTATCACTCCAGAGGTAGAGGTTGGGAATCAGAAGTTCAAGGTGGCCCTCTGACATACAGCAAGTCTGAAGTCCTCCTGAGATCCCTTAGCCCTGTCCTTGTCTCAGAATTAAATTAAAGAGCCTGTTGTTATTATATAAACTAAGATCACCATTCCCCAAGTCCCTTCGGTAAGTCTCGAGATGGTTGTGAACTAATGAAGAGATTTGCTGCCCTGTGTGTGTTCGTGCGCTGTGATGTTCCTCTCTGGAAGGCCACGGCGCTGAGCTGTGTGGCCTCGTGGCCTCTACGGCGTTGGTTCCCCACTGGCCATTCTTAAGAGCTTGGAGACTCTTGCCTAATCACCGTGGCAGCTGGAATTGGCATCCTCCTTCAGTAAAAACCATGGCTGAGAGAGGAGACGGGGGATGCTTTGAAGGTGGCTGTCCACAGCCAGCCCAGCTGAAGGAGAGATCAATCTCCAGGGCGTAGAGAAAGATGTATGATGAGGTTCCGCTGCCGATGGGAATGGCCTCATGGGAAACGGTCCTGAGTTGGCCCCTTCCTCTGTGCTGCCACAGGATGAGTCTGGGTGGGATCTGCAGCCGCCAGTCTGTCCGTTCAAGGGGCTTTGGGGGTCTAAAGGAGTCAAGCGCCATGCGCCTGCAACAGGGCTCAGCTCTGCGTCTTTTGTGTGCACAGTCTTGTGAAAATAAGACAAAAAGGGGTGGACAGGGGAACATGAGCTGTGCAGTTTTCTCAGATGTACAGATAGCATGAGGGTTTGTAGGTTTCTCTTCTAAGAAATCCCCCCTTCCCCCCTTTACTCCATATCTGGCCAAACCTCTTCCCTCCCGATGAGCACTTCACTCTTGGCCCTCTTGGTGGGATACGCCCATGTGTAGCCTGAAGGTGCGCTTCTCCGTTTACCTGGACTCTGTTTCCGTCGTTGCCACACCGGAAGCCTGGAAGAAGCCTGCGGGCCTTCCACGAGCAGATGATGTGCTAATCCCTACTTGTTCTGCCACAGCTAATCTGGACCCCCTCTGTCACCTAATTTCCCAAGGATGTAAGGACAAGAGAGAGAAGAGAGAGATCGCATGACAGAGTATGCGTCACTCCATCCCAGAGTGGGGAAAAAACAAACAAAACAAGTCCCTGATGCTGTGTAAGCATCCCTTCCTACCTGCTAGGGGTCCAGGCTCCAGTAACTCCTACAACTACACAGACCACCATAGAAAGCCCATGTTGGGGTACAAGGGTGCAGAGATCCCCTCCTCCACGGCCAAGTGGGAAGGGTCAATGGGCTAAGAACCCAGAAAAGCTCCTGCCAGCTGTTCCCCACAGCTGCATAGCCTCCACACCAAGCCAAAGCCCTGCCCCGTCTCACTGTACAGGGTGGCAACCTGGACCCCGTCTTCTCTTTGCCTTGGCCTCTCCTGAGATTATCTCTGCATGGATCTGTGTGGGCGGAGCACACTCCGGGTTCATTTTTATATTGAAATGCCCCAGGAGAGCTTTTTTTCTTTCCAGTCCTGCAGTGTGTGTGTGTGTGTTGTGTGTGAGTGCTGTGTGAGTGTGTGTTTGTGTCTACGAAGCAAAAGTGAGATGCCTTTTCATAGAACAAACAATTCTACAGGAAGAGGGAGGGGCAGACACAAGAACTTTTACAAAAGCCCCTGTGGTTCATTACTTTTTTGTTGATGTTGGGTGGGGAGGGGGCAGTTGTTCCTTGCCTGACAGGGTTTCTTCTAGCCGTCTGACAAGTGACCTCGCCTTCCCATCTGGGGAAGGGCTATCTATTCGTGGCTGCGTTCGCTTTGGTCGTCTAGGGAGTACTGCGGCCTGCCGTCTGGAAGCTTGGTCACTGGTCACCTCTGAAGAATGTCCCCACTAGATTGAAGTGGTGATGCTTTGCACACAGCAGGTGTCTGTGTGCATTTACTGAACTAACTAGAACAGATGTGGAGGTAGACTTCCTTTTCCTAACTACGGTTGGCCCGTGGAACAACAAAAAAAAATGAATGAATGGATGAATGGATGAATGGATGGATGGATGGATGGATGGAAAGTTTGGCGAAGTGAAGGCAGAGAAGGGAAGTAAAGCTCAGGGAGTCGGGTGACCCAGTCTTTGACCTGGTCCGGCCTGGTCACCCTGGCTTTCCGTCAGGAAGCTGGAGAGACTGAAAAACACAAACGTGCTGCTTCTTCCTCTGTAAGCTTGTAGAAAGAAAAGTGTGAGCATTAGTAAATCCTAGGCAGCAGGACTGCCCGGTGAGTCGCCCGGGTGAGCTGCCCGACGCCCAGGCAGTAATGCTTGTCTTGTTTTCTCGCAGGTATGAGCTGGGAGCTGCTCTCTTCATTGGATGGGCAGGAGCCTCTCTCTGCATCATTGGCGGGGTCATATTTTGCTTTTCAATATCTGACAACAACAAGACACCCAGGTAGGAAAGAGAAACACCCTGTTTAAAAAAAAAGAAAAGCACTGCACCTGTGGCTCTCAATCCTCCTAAGGCTTTAATACACTACCTCATGTTCTCTTGACCCCGCCCCCACCCCGCCCAGAAAATTATCCCACTGCTACTTCCTAAGTGTAGTTTTGTTACCGTTTATAAATCGTAAATATTTTTGGAGATAGAGGTTTGCCGGAGGGGGGTCTCGACCCACGGGTTGAGAACCACTGCAGTTTCTTATTCTAAATCATTGCATATGGGACGATTCGTGTGAGTCTTGGAAATTGGAAGTAGCAATGGAAAGGGGTTAGGGACAGCTATTATTTCTCAAGACCTCACTGCTGCGTTCTAAAGCTGCGTCTGTCCCTGGAGGCCAAGCCCATGTGTCAAGGTGTGCTTTCCATGCTGACTTCTCTGTAATTTTCACGTAGGCAGGAATCGATGAGGGGCTTTCTCTACTAACCCTCCTCAGTTTCAGGAAAATGAGCATTAATAAGTAGTTTTGGGAACAGGTAAGTCCCGAGTTCTCTCTACAGAGATTCTCCCATCACACAGGCTACATGGACAGCGGAGGGATGAGCGCTAACCTTCTTCAGAGGAGTTAACTCTTAGTACAGACAACAATGGCTCAGCCATTTCTCCTTGGCCCTGTTGTGTAGAGCAGAACCAATCCAAGTGTGTTTTACCTTTCAGAATGGCCTACACATACAACAGTCCCACGTCTGTCATGTCTTCTCGGACCAAGTATCACGGCGGAGAGGGAGATTTTAAAACCACAAGCCCTTCAAAACAGTTTGATAAAAACGCTTATGTCTAAATAGACCTCCTGGCAAGCCGGGCCTCAAGTTTGCCATGAACTGTTTCCAAGGCCCCTCCTGTAATTACCGCTTTGGCTTTTTTTTTTAAATATGAATTTGAAGACTGTTGATTGGACAGATGTAAATGCTCTTATGGTTATATGCTAATCACTTTCTGTTGTGCCTTTCTCTAGGGAAAATAAACAGGTTATCTACAGGATCTGTGTATTCCATACACATGGACACTCTTAGTTCCAAGGCTCAGGAAATGTTGGGGTTGACAAGTCACTTTGCTCTTTAGTATGCTGAGAGCTGCCCTCATTTTGCCCGCATATGAGACAGGAGCTCGTGGGCGACGACGGTGTCTTGTGAATGGGATGGGGAACAGTTAGAGAACATTCGTCACCAGGTGTCCAAGTCAAACAGACACACGTTATTAAATCTGCCGGGTAGAGTTGCCTTCTACTTTTTTAAAGCTGTCTGTCATGCGTGATGACGGCTCAAGAGAGGGCTAACGAGGCCAAGGTCTCATTGCCCTTTGCACGGCTCTCATAGACTACATAGGGTTTGCCTTGACACTGAAAGCTCAACAGGTGAGCTGTGCGCTGGTGGTGGTTGGATCCAAAGCCAGCTAAGGAAGGTTCTAGAGCATGTTGAGTGGTGCCTGCTGCCCTCATTTCCTCTGTCTTGTGGGTCCTACACCCAGCGCTCAGCAGGTCACTGAGACACTGGCTGTTTCTCAAGACGCGGAACAATGCTGCAGATTTATTCCTGAGGCTGGCCCTGCATGTCACTTGCCCACAAAGGCAGTGATTGTTTCCACTGCCACACAGTTTATGATAGTGCCCATTTATACTTACAACACCCTTGATGGCAGGGAGTTGGCGTTTTCCTGCGTGTAGCGAAGAAAAGTAAAGTGGAGAGTCGAAGTGAGGAGCCCTTTTAGAGACAGGGCCGGGACAGGAGCTGGGGTGGCCTCGGGTTAAACATGGATGGGTTCCAAGTTGTGAGAATCGGAACCTGTGCCCAGTGCTACAAATTGCCCAGGACGAATCACATGGGTGACTGCGTGACTTTCCTGAGGAGTGAATGACTGAAAAGGAAAAGTCACATTGTTTGCAGGTACTCAATGGAAAGAAAAATGTTTTTTAAAAGTACAATTAAAAAATTTTCAAATGCCATACCTTGTTAACACTTGAGTTTTTTTTTCTTCATAAAGGTGGGTTAAGCACCACAGACCAGTGGAAGCAGGGCTGTGTTGGCAAGCATTTAAACTGAACTGGTGAAGACAGCAGTTAGGGAGTAGGAGGAGCAGGGGATGAGGTATGGATACGGATGGTGGGGGCATATAAGGTTTGTCTACACAAGAAGGAATAAAAAAAACTCAACAGGTAAGTTAAAAGGTTGAGTTTTGTGACCTACATTTACCAACTTAATTCCCATGCTGGCTTTGAGCAGAGTCCCAGAAGTCAAGGCGCGGGCGGCACAGAACCTGGGAGCAGGCTTCCTCTAAAGCCGGCTCCTGTTACTTTCCGGTTGTGTGTCCTTTGACAAGGGACTCAATACCTCTTGGTTTCTAGTGTCTTCATGATTATAAAAAGAGCACATCTCAACATTCTAGCTGAATGAAGACCTAAGTCACACCCAGAACAGAATCGGAGCCAGAAGGCTCAGGCTGGGCATGGGCAGTGCACATCTTTAATCTCGGCTCTTGGGAAGGAGGCAGAGGCAGGTAGATCTCTGAGTTGAAGACCAGGCTGGTCTACAGCAGGTTGAGTTCCAAGCCAGCCACAGCCACATAGCTGAGACTTTCTTGGAAAGCAAAATAAAGAAAGAAATAAAGAGATTTGTGAGGCTCAATAAAAACCTGCTGTGGGAGTGAGCCGTGGGCAGGTTGTTTATCTTGGGGTCACACCATCGTGGTCTGTCATTTACCAAAGCTTTTACAAGCCTACATATCAAATGAGCCCATTTGCACACAATGCCCCCTGTGGGGAGGTGGAAAGATTTTTTTTTCATGGTTTGGAATGGGCACACATAGGTTTCAGGTTGGTAGCCACAGAGATTTACTCCAAGGTCAGGATGTTAGAAGCCATGGCTTTGTATAAGCACCTTCATAAATTTAGTCGGGGAGTCATCTTCAATAAGCAGCCACAGTCACAGGATGCAATGGAGGACTTTACTGGCACTGTTGATGGATGACAGGAGACCCCAAATCAACAAGCTATTAAAATGTTACCTCTTCCTTTTTTCTGAGATAGAATTCTAATAGTACCACAAAGTGTAAAAAAATATTTTTAAAAAAAGCAAAAAAAATAAAAAAAGAAACCAACAGTTTATATATAAACTTTCTGACCATTGCTGAGATCGTTGTTCAAGAATGTAAGTTATTTCTGAGGTATTTTATAGTGAGGTGGATTCTGGGAAACAGAGAAACTACACACATGTATGACTCGGGAATGGCTCGTCTTTTTCTAGTGATCGTCTCGTAAAAATCCATTGGTGTTTAGAACAGTTGCATATCAATCGTGAAATATCCAAGATGAAGATTACACTGCAGAAAATAACTCGTCAGTCACAACAAGCTAGAAGGGCCTCGAAGGTCAGTGGGGTCAATGGTACTTCAGGACATGTACTTGCCATGGGTCTAGTTAATTGCTACCATTCTAGACTTACTGCTATATGGGGAACAACCAATTTAACTTGTAGAATGTCACTGACGTCACTAATTCAATTTTGAAGAGACTTAACAGAATTTTATAACATAAAAACTATAAACAAACACTATATACATATTTTAAAAAGCTACAGTAACTCAAACCAAAGCCTACTATCAGTTAAAAAAAAAAAGACTTAAAAGTAATTAGAAAAAAAATACATTTAGCACTAGAGTACCGTACTGCAGGAAACACTTTTTATGACTTAAAGGACATCTTGTTTCTACACAGTGGACCAGCTGACAGTTTCCAATACTGCGTTAGGTGTGGTAAAAGATGTCCTTGCTCTGAACGGGCCTCCTCATTGAGGTGGGAAACACTAAGGAACGTTAGGATCTTATAGGCTGTTGGTCGAAAATGCTGCTGGCTGCTGGGACAGTTCTCTGACGTGTGGAACTGCGGTTACATGTCCAAGACGTCACTCCAGTCTGTCACAGTGATTAGGCTGCTCCTCATTGCGCTGGAATCGTTTTCCTGACGTCCTGGACAGAGCAGGAGGAAGAGAGGGAACCTGGGGTCAGACCGGGGTATCCCCCCGAATTGGGACAGTCTTTACTCACCCAGCATCTGAATCTGTTTAGTCAGATACCTGATCCCTACAGGCTTTGGGGGGACGGATGCTAGAAAAAACCCACCCCTCAAGTCATACACATTTCTGGCTCTCCTCACAGGGCATGGCCTGTGACCGTCCATCCCGAAGCCCTTAGGCTCCTGGGCGGCAGGGCCTGTGCCCTGCTTTTCTTGTCCCTTGGCGTTCAGCATGGTGTCTGGACATTGAGTTCTCAGCGTGCTGGGGTTGTGCTATTTACTAGGAGCAGACAGAAACTGGGCAGTAAAGGAGCTTGTATAAGATCCTACTCGTTGCTAGTTCACTATCTAGAGGTGAGTGCTAAACACAGATTTTGCTGGGGTGGGAGAGGTTACATTGGAAGTCGGTTAAGAAGAGCCGTGGGGTGCAGCACACGGTGGCTGAGCCCACTCTGGTTTGACTCTAGAATGCTCTCTGAGGGACCGCGAGGCTGACATACTGGAGGGGAGAAGAAGACCATGCAGGAGGTGGGAGACCTGACTGTGTGTGGGGTCTACAGGCACTGGCGGGGGGAGGGGAACAGGCAAGGGCACCGGTTCACAAGGCGGAATATGAGGGGCGGTGGGGGACGGTGGGGGAGGGCCCCGCCTCTGTGGGACATCCCAGCTAAAGTCTGAAGCTGCCAAACTGAGAGGCGTGTTTGATTCCACTGCTGAGAGGTAGGGGGTGGAGGGTGGGGGGAGGGTGGCTCCCCCGATGCTAAAGGTGGTGAGAAATGCCATGGAGGAACCCTCTGCACATCTTCTCTTTCACCGAGCACAAGGATTGCTTTGATTGTATGCATGCATGCGTGTATGTGTGTGCGTGTGTGTGTATGTATGTGGGCATATATGTGTGTGTATATGTATACATGTATGTATACACACACACACACACATAAGTTACAGCTGGGTGTGGTGGTGTAACTGGTGTAGAAGACATGAAGATGGTCTACAGAGAAGCTTGAGCCCTTCAATGTGACTATCGGGCTGTTGAAACAACGGACTTTGAAGGAATGAGGGTTCCCCCCCAGGTGGGAGAGGAAAAGGCCCCACCCCTGAATGAGATGTTACCCAGTTCTTACAAAAAGTCCGAGCATCTCACAGGCTGAGACTAAACCCCAGGCAGTGATGGGTCAGTGGTGGGCGGGACCAACTGCTCAGTTGTGGATGCTCTTGGCCCTTGAAACGTTGACTTGCGGGTGGTCAATGACATCCTTGTCCCTCTTCCCAACGCAGTCACATTGAATAAATCTACTTTGTCTGTTTCTCACTGTCAGTTTGGATCTTTTGATTGGCTTACTGAGGATGGGTGGATGGATCTGATTTGGGACACAAGTGTGACCACCTGAAATCTGGTAACAGCGGCACACCTGGGATCTTGGTACTCAAGATGGTGATTTACAAAGACTCAGGGTTCAGGACCAGCCCTGGGTGGTACAGTAACACAGCTGAAATCTTGTCTCAAAAAAGCAAGTAAGCAAAGTAAACAAAATATGTATATGCGTGCACACACACACACACACACACACACACTATGATTTTGAATTTAGAAACTAGGTCTACTGAGAGTTATGTGACTTTGTGAGAGTCATATGACTCTTGGGAGTTACATCCAGGCTCTTTGGGGCATAGTCCAGCTTACAAAGTCATTTGTGATCCATCCCACTGACTACAATGTTATAAGAAAAAAAACCTTCCCTTGGAAGAAAACCCAGGAAAACACCTAAGAGGAAATGACGGCGTACTGGAAGAATGCCAAAAGAATCTTCTCATCTATGTACAAGCTCAGAGGGTCTAATTTCTAGGGGCATCTGTATAAAGAGATTGTCTGTGTGGGCATTGTGAAAAATAACATTAAGATGTTCACTGAAACAGTACAGAAAAAAATTAAAACAATTTATACATATGTGAAATAAGTTATTCAGATATACCTTATAATAAAAAAATAACATCAAGATCTTGGCTATAACAATTGTGTCCTTTGGTCTCATTTGGTTTTAGCTTTGGCTAAGTGCTCTACCACTTAGCTATGACCCCTCCCCCCCCTCCAGAGTGCTTCTGTCTGACGAGTGTTAACTAAAAGCAGAAATTTTATAAAGTTGGAACACTCTGGGACTGAAGAGCCAGTTTGGTTGGTACAGGGCTTGCAGATGGCTCATGAAGACTTGAATTTGATCACATTTCAGAAAGGTCACGAGCGAGGGTACCCACTGTTTCCCTGGCATCGAGGGAGCAGAAGTAGGGTGGACAGGGGGGACTCTGTCAGCCGTCCAGTCGAGCCTGCTTGGTGTGCACCAGGCCCGTGTGAGACCCTGCCTGGAAACACAAGGTGGACTGCCTGTCAGGGACCATACCAAGGCTGACTTCTGCCTCCACAGGCGTGAACACGAATGTGCACCCACACAAACGCGCACATACGCGCTACGGAAACACAGCCCATCCACACAGGAGAGTGAAAACTGTGAACCTTCTTCCTTGAATTCCCGAGGGTTCACTGGGCCCCAGGCCCTTGGCACTTGACTGGAGCTAAGATCTCTCTTCACAGGCGGAGGCTCCCTCTGCTCCATCTTTTTCTCCACAGACTTTTCTTCCTCCAAGGATGAGATGTCCCAGTTGTCCTCATCGGCGCACTGGAAGGGACACACAGAGGATAGCTCGCACGCTTAGAGAAACAGGGCCTCTGCTCACCCTCACCGTTCGAGGCTTAGGCTGAGCGGCTGGCACTGTGGGACGGGGTGGGAACGACGCGGAGGACCCGATGGAGGAATCTTGATAGGACCGTGAAGTGAACCTGAAAACCCTCGTCTTCAAATTTACAGAAATCACCTTTTTTTCTCTGTATCAATTACGGATTTAGGAAAATTCTAGACTACGAGGATTGTAGAGAGGGGAAACTCCAAAAGTCAGGGTGAGACAGTGTCACCCAGGAGCTCTGCAGAATGAGGCCCCCGCCCCCTCCCCCAGAAGGAGCTCATTTTCACCGAGGCTTGCCCAAAGAGAGCCATGCTGTCTTCGATGCAGCATTTGACATTCTGGCTGGTTTGTATTAGCACAAAAAAACAGTAGCTAAAGAAGAAAGTTCAACAGATCGCTTTGATCCCATGGATGAATGGCGGGGGCGGGGACGGGGCCTATCAGTCCTATCTACAGGACTGAAAAGAATGACCGGTATTGGAGGACTCAGTCTACACAATCCACTGGCCAGAATGGTAACAGCCGAGTTCTGCTCACAAACACTCTGGGCCTTAGAATTGATCCAAAACTTTCCAGCCTCTCCAAAGATTCTGACTCCCAGGTGGGGACAACCCTTAAAGTCCCTATCTTACTTCCAGGTATCAGAAAACCCAGATTCTAGCTCATGGTACTGCCGTGGGCAAAACACTCAACGCCAAACAGCACACATGGCAGAGTTGTGAAAATCTGTGCAGTGTGGCGTGCAGATACCGTTGTATTGAAGGCTGAATATAGCCCTTGTGTGAAACGATTGGGGCCAGAGGTATTTACAGTTAGATAGGGTGTTGAGCTTGGCATTTTATTGGGTGTCAATCACTCTAACCTTGAAGATGCCAAATCCAGTGTGATCAAAAATAGGAGACTTTTTCGTGTGAGTGCCTGAGACTGAACCTGGGGCCTCCTGCAGACTCAGCTGAGCTGCACCTCAGATCTCAGTCTGGGGATTTTTTAGTAGATGCCAGTGCTTTAAAAAGTTTAGCATGCCGGGTGTTGGTGGCGCACTCCTTTAATCCCAGCACTCGGGAGGCAGAGGCAGGCGGATCTCTGTGAGTTTGAGGTCAGCCTGTTCTACTGAGAGAGTTCCAGGACAGCCTCCAAAAACAATACAGAGAAACCCTGTCTCGAAAAACCAAAAAAAAAAAAAAAAAAAAAAGTTTAGCACTTTGGGACATTCCAGATTGTTCAATCCACACCTGCTGTCAGACAGCAAACTGTCTGTGGGATCATTAAATGTGGAATACTAAGAACAAGTCAAGAGGAAGTACCAGCCTTTAGTATCTTAACCAATCACTTTCATTCCGCTGTAAATATATATTTACTAATGAATCTGTCAAAAGATGAATTAGTTAGCAAGTGGCTTCACCTTTAACTCTTGCACTTCCTCCTTCTTGGCAAGTGTCTCGGCAGGGTTCGTTCCGGTGACTGGCTTATTCCCACTTCCTTGGTGTACAACCATGCTCCCAACATCTTCGGTTTGTATCTTAATGGAGGTTCCTATAGGGGCAACGGGACAGTCAGGAGAGGCTCCAGAATTGCTCCTGTCAGCCTGGCAGGGGCCTCTGCTTCACAAGAAATGATTTACCATCGAACGGAAACTAGCTGATATGATTGGGGTTTGGAGAGATGATGGCTCAGGGGCCAACAGCACCTGCTATCCGGGCAGACAATTACGTTCAGTTCCTAGCACCCACAGCACGAACCTCATGACCACCCTATCTCCTGTTCCAGGGGATCCAATGCCCTCTTCTGGCCTCCATAGGCAACACACACACACACACACACACACACACACACACACAATCACACATACATGCACCACATACATATACATACATGTAACATACATATACAAGTACCATACACATGTACATGTACCACACTCATACACATACAGACACACACACACACTCACATAATTTAAAGAGTGGTCCATGATCTATGTGGACAGTCCTTATAAAAACTGGAAAGCAGGACTGAGAGGAACTGGTCCGGGGAGATGCTACGAGGAGACAGGGAGGGGAGAGCCACCCCAGAGAAACGGAACACATCTCCCCTCGGAGCTCTTCAGAAAAGGACTTGCTCACCCAGCCTACGGAATATGGGCGTGACAAATTTCTGCTGTTTAAATCACTCAGCTTACAGCGCTTGATTAAAATAGCTGTAGGGAAGCTGTACGCGCGCTGGGGCACCCTAACTAGCTCTTCCCCGTCTGTGAACACGGGTGGCTCTCTAGCGGCTTTGGGATGAGCCCCACAGTCCTCACACGCAGTACCCGCTCAGATGCCCAGCGCTTGGGTTTTCAGAGGCCGAGGCTCACCTGAGGGCTTCGGGGGAAACATTTGAGCCCTCCATTTCATTTCCCTCTGTCCAGTCCGTGTCGCTTCTGGCGGAGCTCTTTCTGAAGTTACCCAAACTGTTTTTAGACGGCTGCACCATCATCAGGTCTGGAGATACATACGCCTCGATGATGTCCTCTTCACCCAGGTCCTCCTCCGAGCTGAAGGGAGGCGTCCTGTGTAAGACGAAAACAAAATGGGGGTACATGGGTGTTGTCTCCTCATTTCAGAATTTACTAACCAGGGATGTCTTTTTTTTTTCTTTAAAAAAATTTTGTTCTTTTACTTAGCACATAATTGGCTTTATTCTGAATTTTCATACATACTTTAGTTTTTGTTGCTCCCTTTCCCCCACCGCCTGTTCCTCCTCCCCCTCCTCAATCTCCTGCTCCCCTCCCCTCCCCCTCCCCCTCAAACTCCCCCTCCTCTCTCCCCTAAAGTAGACCTCTTCTGCTTTCATGTCACATATATCCTGTTCCCCTCTTTTTAGTTCTTTTTCTTCTCTGTGACATTCCTTAGTACCTCTTTTCCCCATTAGTGGACTCTTCTAGTTTTATGACTGATACATCAAACACACACACACATACATATTCATACATAAAAATTAAAACCCAGGATCTACATATGAGAGAGAACATTCAATATTTGTCTTTCTGAGTGTGGGATATTTTGCTTAGGAGTAATTTCTGGTTCTAACCATTTTCCTGAATCAAATGACATTGTGTGCATGTACCACATTTTCCTCAGCCACACATCTGTTGATAGTCATTTCCTAGTCATGCTGAATAGTGAGGAAAGAAACATGTCTGTATGGTTGTCTCTGTGGTGGCTTAGAGTCCTTTGGGCATGTGCCTAGATGGCTAGGTCCAACGGAAGTTCGGTTTTTCAGCTTCTCCAGAACCCTCTATATTGATTTTATGTGGCTGTCTTCTAAAATGATATGGACCCCTGAGGTAATTCCCAGAAAGCACAATAAAGGAAACTCCCCTGGACCCACAGACAAGGAGGCAATGAAGCCAGCACTGCGTGCAAAACCGAGGCGTCATCCCAGACCCAGATCTGCCAATCATGATGCAGAGCTATTAAAATAGACTGAGGTTCCCAGATGTGTACTGTTTTGGTATTCTTAGCTCTTAAATGCTTCAGGAAAACATTTCTCAGTGAATAAAAACATATCTACACTCAAACTACTCTACCTTTTTAAAATGACATTACTTCTGATTCACAGATTGCTGCCCCAACTGTTAGGGCAGCATTTGTCATGTGAAGAACATTCGTAGGATGCTGTAGTGCCTGCGCACACTGGTTCTGTCACACGCACCCCATGAAAGGAAGCTCTTCCCACAAAGTTGGCGAGTGAAAAGATGAACCCTTTTTTATCTCTACTTAATGACACCCAGACTCCGGTAACGGCGATTACACTCGCTAACAGAAAATGAGAATCATTCAGAACTAATAACAAAGATATACTGGTAACTTATTGAGTGCCCTCAAGAGCCAAGACCCTTTTACATGTTCTCATTTAATTTGTAAAGTGATCCTAAGTCAGGTATGGTATTCCATGCCATGAATCCCAGTTAATCAGGAGGCAGGGACATCTCTGTGACTTCAAGGTCACCATAGTCAGAGAGAGTTCCAGGACAGCCAGAGCAACCTTGTCTAAAAAACAAACAAACCAACACCAAAAAAGTATTCTGTAAACAAGAAAGCATCACATATTACAGATTTAAAAGAAAATTAGGCTCAAAATAAGCACTTAATGAGTGCCAGCTGTTGAGTGAGTGTGCAAACACTCCTGTCTTCTAAGATCCCTGGCAGAAGGTGGTCTGAGTCTTTGCTAGCCGTTACAAGAAGGCAGAACGCCGAAATACCGCCTGACACCTACATACGTGATCATGGACCCAGTCACCGAAATGCCATCTGTCCTGTCTAAATGTGCTTATTTTTTAAAACAATTACACTGGGCAAGGCTGCATAAAGATGACTTGGGGGCGGTCCTTTTTCTTAACGGAGGCCGTGACGTGGTAACCCGCTACCGAATGGTAGGGTAACTTAAGAAGAATGTCACAAATAATATACCACAAAGGACTTGAGAAGACACCTGATGGGGGACGCCCTTCTTATTGGTTGATAAGTAAAACACTGATTGGTCAGCAGAGGCGGGAAGATAGGCGGGACTAGGAAAGGAGGAGAATGCTGGGGAGAGAGGAGAGAGAGGCATTGACGAGACGCCATGCGGAGACCTGGAGGATAGGTTCTCTGGTAAGAAAAGGCCATGCAGAAATACATAGATCAGTTGTTATGGGCTAAGTAATTCAGACAGAGCTAGCCAACAAGAAGCCCTAGACATAGGCCAACAGTTTTATAATTGATACAGCATCTGTGTGCTTACTTGGGGCTGATCAGCTGCAGGACCAGGCTGGAGAGAAACTCCAGCTACAGTAACCCTGAGGAATAACCACTGTGGCTTTACCTAAGCACAGCGAGCCCTGACTTTGCCACGAGAGGGGTACTCAGTTTACATCCATTCCACCCACCCCTCAGAACCCCTCCTAGTACTCACTTGGTAGCTGAAAACTTTCTGATAAAATGATTTTCTTTGGTATTTTTCTTAAGTCTAAAAAAAAATAGAGGAAGACAGAAAAGTATTTCTCAAGCAGATAAGCAAATAATATAGCTAACACAAATGTCTCTGGAAAACACAAAAGTCTTTGGTTATCGTCCAGAGAGTACACTCGAGTTGTGGATATGATTCGCTGCCACTGACTCTGTGTTTGTAACCTAACAGACCTGTGGCATGGTGGTGTCCAGCAGCAGGACTTTGGGAAGTCCTGGACTACATGGAATCAAAGGGTTGGGCCCCCGTGATGGGATTACTACCTGTGGTGGTTTGAATGAAAACAGCCCCTAGTAGCTCAAACATTTGGGGGCTTGGTCCCCACTGGACCTGTTTGGGAAGATTGGGAGGTGTGTCTTTCTTGGAGGAGGTGTGTCATGGGAGACTGTCTGGGAGGGTTCGAGGACCCAACCCTTCGCGCGCGGTTAGCTCTCTCTGCCTTGTGCTTGTGGATCGAGAGGGAAGCTCGCCATTAAAGCCCCGGCTCCCCCTCCTGCTGGCTGCTGCCATGCTCCCCCCATGGTGGTCTCTGACTCTGACCCTCTGGGACCATGAGCCTCCAGATTAAACCCTTTCTTTTATCGGCCGCTTTGGCCATAGTGCTTGGTCACAGAGACTGAAAAGCGGATAGGACACTGCCTTCAAAAGAGGAGGAGACCACAGCTGGTCCACTGTGTGAGCTGTGGCAACACAACTTGACCTCTGGCACCCCGATCCAGCCTCCAAAATAAATGCCCACTGTTTCAGTGACCCCAGGTAGCGATGTATTGTTGTAGCAGCTTCCGTAGGAAATACTCACTTTGGCGCAGCCATCTTATCAGCAAACACAGCCCTCTGCGTGGCCAGTGGTCTGCTTTGGGGGGGAAACTGGGTGACTCTGGGAACTTCTTCTGCTGGAGCGGCGGTCACGGCAGGGTCATTGTGCCTGTCTGGAAGAGAAACACGGTTCGTGAGTGTCCACTGCCTCCGTAGTAGAGAAAAGCCAAATGACACGAATGCTGTCCATGGTGTCACGGGAAAGAACGAGCCTGCCTCTCGGGTTCAGAATCCAGACGCAGTACTTCATTTTTTTTGTTTTTTTGTTTTTTGAGACAGAGTCTCTTGCAGCCTTGGATCTGCTATATAGCCAAGAAGGACTCTTGAACTCCTGGTCCCACGTGCCCTTACCTCCTGAGTGCTAGGGTTACAGGCATCCATCCACCCCAGAGTGTGAGTCGGGCTTCTCTCAAGATGCAACCCAAGACCCAGCATGTCAAGTAAGACAGTAGGAGAAGCTGCCCGGTGCCACGGTTTGCACACATTTAAAATGATAAAAAGGTTGCTAGATTTAGCTCCCATGTGTAGCAACACAGTGCCGGGTGGCGGGAGGCAGGCAGGCTTACCTGAAAACAGGGACACCTTCTCCTCGATTTTACAGATCAGCTGCTGTTCAAGGGATTCTCGGATTTGCTGGATGTCGGGCATCTGCTTTGCTAGATCATGTCTGGCTAATTGCATGGCTTTGAGTGATTTATTCAGGATCTCACACGGGATGCCGTGTATGTCCTGGAGGGATAAGATGTCGTGTAAGTCTGTTATCACTGTCCTTGGATGTTTTTTTTGCTTACAGACGTGTGTCTCCGTTCCCTCTGTTCCTCTGTCTCCCCAAGGCCATTTAAGGTAGGGGGTGGGGATGCCCCACCGCATAACAAACTCTTCCGGTTCCAAAGGGGGCTTGAAACACCCGTGTGCCTATTTGTGACTGGCTAACCAACAACTCCACGCTGTGTGACAAGCGGCAAACGAGCCTACCAAGACTAGAGGAATTCCAAAAAGAGGGCCCACCAGAGGCCCTAACCTCCTGAGAAGGCTGAAGCGGGCGGCTGAGCTGTGCTCTGAGGAGAGGCAGAGACAGACAGTAGAAATAAGAAGTCATTTCCAGATGGTCGGGCACTGGGGATACCTTGTGAAGAGGACAGGACCTTGGGGTAGAGGTAGCCAGAGCACGCCCCACAGGCCGATGCGGCAAGGGCCCAGGCGACGGACCCAAAGAGAAAACTGAGTGTGGACCTGGAAAGCTCAGCAGTCGTCCCGCAGGGACGAGAAAGCCATGGCCCTTCCATCATGAATCTGAGTAGGTAGAGAGGTGACCTGAGGAACTCTGGGTCTGACAGGATCCGGTCAGAAGAAAGGCACTTGAACGGCTACTTACTTAATGTTCATGTTCCACACACGAGCTCGTCTCCCCTCTTCACTGCCCCTCCCCCCTCCCCCCCTGTCCCCTCTCGTCCCCCCACACTGTCCCCTTTCTTCTGTGTCCCCAATCCCGGGGGTGGCCTCACTACCTCACGCTGTTGCCCAGGAGAGAAATCTCTGTCATCAGACGAGCGCCGTGCCCAAGTTTCCTCTGCCCTCAGTCATGGCCCTGACTGGCGAGAGCGTGGCTCGGGGGGAGACAGGGACGTGAGTGGCCAGTATGAGTTAGCTAGTGCGGTATGGGCAAATACATGAAGAATACCGATGGCCGGGTGTTGGTGGCACACACCTTTAATCCCAGCACTAGGGAGGCAGAGGCAGGCGGATCTCTGTGAGTTCAAGGCCAGCCTGGGCTACACAGAGAAACCCTGTCTAGAAAAAACTAACCAACTAACTAACTAACTAACTAACTAACCAACCTACTAACTAGTTAGCTAACTAGCTAGCTAGCCAACTAACTTGGTAACTAACTAGATAGCTAATTAAGTAACTAGCTAAGTAAGTAACTAACTAACAGATCTGGTAAAGGAAGAGTGTCCAAAGCAGACCCAAATGCACACATAATAAAAGCATTATTCCAGCTGAACAGGAAAGGGATCACAGAACCAATGGTAACAGGACAACTGCTTCAAATGGAAATGAAGTTAAACTTTTCTAATTCTGAACACACACACACACACACACACACACACACACACACACACACCACACACACACCCCACACCCCAAACCAGGAAACAAACAAAAATGTCCCTAAACACTAGGAGAAAAACTACAGATAAGGCCCTGAATAAAATTAACCCCCACACACACAAACTCATAGAAACAGCAAACTGGAAAATTTGGTCTCAAGAGCATCTGCACGAATGTGTCCTGGTTCCCACTGCCCTAGTACGGCTAAACACCCACACAAAGAGTGTAAGAAATCAGAGACTGGACACCAAGAACTGGTTAAAGACGGTGCCGCTGAGCCGTCCTGCCCCTTCAGGTCGAGGATGGACTGGAACGCTTGAGAACACGATTCAGGAGCAGCTGTGAGGATACACACACCTGCCTCTTGACCCAGCGAAGTCATTCCTAGATACGCCCCCAGGAAAAAGACGCTGACTTTGAGGTTCTTGCTCACACCAAAGAGCATGTGCAAAACTTAGCTAAATGGAAGCCCGCACATCCACTTTCAGGAAGGGAGGTAAAACCGCATGGGATTCATGCAGCTCAGTGCTAAGTGAAACAAATAACGAAGCGACTACTGGTGCGTGAAACAGAAACGCACCCCACGGACTAGGGCGCCCTCGAGGGAGGCAGGACGGCACAGGGTAATAGTCCATGGCAGGAGATTCCGCTCCCGCGAGTGCCTGCCACCTCTTGCTGGAGAGTAGCTGGTGACACAGGCAACAGAGAGGTAAAGGGGACCTTCTGGGGTACTAGAAATATGCAGTGCTGTCATCTGAGTGGTGGTTAAGGACTCTCTCACACAAACCCATCCGTGTACCCCTAAATACACACATAGCAGCACACAAACATGGATACACACAATGTATCCATATGCTTACTCAAATACATGTGTATACATGTGCATGTATGAACACATAGCTGCATACAGATGCATCTATACATAAATACACAGCTATATCTATACATGTGTTCAACACAAGCACCTGTAATAAACAGCTACATACACACGCTTTTATACACATCTACACACACATACATACTACATCTATTTATCATGCATAAGTATGCATATGGTATAATGTACATTCATGCTTTTATATATATATTAATGTGTGTATATGTTTACATGCATTTGCATACAATGCATATATACATTCATGCATGTATAGCTATGTAAGCACCCATGTATTTACCAGCACACAAATAAATTCATCAGATTGTTAGGATTCATACACTTAGTGCATTCTAATAAAGATTTTAAGAGCACAAAGGGTTTATACGTAAGATGTGGGGCTCAGATGACCCAATTTGGTTTCGAGATGAAGCCTACCATTTACTAAGTGCTGGCTCTGTAGTGAGCAGTTAGTTGTATGAGGGGAATCTCAGAATGTATTATTCAGAGTGTTATCAATGCGCTACAGCCACCCAAACAGGCTCTGGCTCCTAACACAAAGTTACCTAATCTTTATATAAGACAAATGACAATGCCATTTATTCCAAGTTTTATTCCTCTGCTTATAAGTAAGTTTGTATGTGTGAAGGTCTTAGAAATGAACCAGGTAGCAGACGCCACCCACAGCTCTGCTAACCTGAGTCTAATTAGCATGCGACCTCCAAATTCTGACGGAGCTGAGAGACTTTCTTCTCTCCTCTCCTGCGTCCTGGTTTAGATAACGGAACATAACAGGCAAACGCTCAGAAGATGAGCTAACGTACCGCGTCAATCCCAAAGCTCCTCAGCTTCTTGCCCAGCTCCTTCTCCAAGTTCGTCCTCAGCCTCTTGGAGGAGGGGTTGCTCCTCAGGGTTTTCCTGAAATGCGTCTTCTTATTTAATTTCTGTTCATTTTCTCGCCCTGGATTAAGGTTTTATTATAAAACAGATTTAAAGAGAATTATACAAGTTCATTCTAGGTGGAGAATGACAACATATGACTTTAAGACAGAAAGTAAACATCTGTAAAGAATTTCAGGTTTGGAGTATTTTATAATGAGTAAGTGTCATGGCTTCTGAAACTGTTTTAAATCTGCCTCAGAACTTGGTGGCTTCTAAGACTTACCCAGATGACAGTTAATCAACTTAAGAGATGGATGTAATATATTCTTTAATGCTTAGTGTTTTGTCAGTGGACAGTTCGTCTCTAAGCCTAGTTAGAATTTATTACACGAAGAGAAAAAGTCCAATCGATTTAAATTTCATTTAAGTTTTAAGGAGATACATTTAGTACATGCTAAGTGCACATAAAACAGGGTGATTTCTCCTCTTCCAGGTCTTTACCAAACAGAAAAGAGGTTAACAAAGTCTAAGTAAGTGAAACAACTTATGATTTCAAATAAACAAAAAAAGCCAAACAAAGAAAAAAAAATCAGACAAAAAACCCCAGGCCATATTCTTTTCATTTTCCATCTCCAATTTCACTTTCTTCCTTCCTCTTTGTGGTTCTGGAACGGAGCCCCGTAACTACAGCCTTCAGCTTACCCGTCCACTTTAAAGCATGCCTATTTCAAGAGAGCATGCAACAGGACATTTCACAGCGAGGCTCAGTCTGTCCACAGTAGCTGAAGACCTACTAAAGAGACCCAGTGCCTGGCAGGTCAGGATCTTAAGAGACTGTCCAAAGCCAGATCTGGAAAAAAGTCTCACAAATGCACTGTCACTCTGGGATCCCGTGTCCAAGCAGGTTCATTTCATTTGAAAGGCCTGGACGAGTGCCATAAGCCAGCAAGACATGCGCTCCTTCTTTCAGGCTGGCTGCAGGGACACCCCTGCCCCACCCCCAACTACTCTGCTGCCTTAGCGGATGGTACGGTTAGCGGCTGCTGCCACCTGCATTTGCTGAACACATTTTCCAGACAGCTCTCTGATCCCAATATTAAATCATATTCTATTATACTGATGAAGGTTTTTTGTGGCGTTTTTGTTTTGTTTTGTTTTGTTTTGAGGCAAGGTCTCACTCTAGTCCAGGCTGGCCTCAAAGGAAATGCTTGGATTATAAGCATGGGCCAAAATGTTCACATATAAATTAAGTTGTACAAAAAAGATTAGTCAAATTAGTTTGCATGTTAAATACAAAAATCCTGCAACCACACGCATACCCACAGAGACAAAAAGCAAAACCAGTCAAAACAAAACAGAAATTTCACCACTTAACCAAAACAAAAACTCTGTCCTAAGAACTGGTAATAATCAAGTCAGAACATATTATGCATCACAGACTTTGCTATCTAGTTGGTCAGTGTAGGGCTCAGGAAGAAAAAAAAAGGCCATCAGAGTCATATTGCTACCACTGAAACTAGTAAATAAAAAAAAAAAGCCAGGGGCAACTTGTAAAGACACATGAAAACAAGCCTCATTAAAAGTGTATTTTTTAAAAAGTGCCAATAATGAACATAGCAACATCAGGACTTGAAAATATATATCATGTAGATGTTATGAGCAGGACTGGTCTAATTAATTTTCAACTTGTAGCTCTGTAAAAATAAGAAAAAAATGGTAAGATCTTATCAACACAGGAGTTGTAAGAACCATTAAAATTTTACATTTTATGGCTGAAGAGATGACTGGGTAGTTAGGAGGGTGCATCGATCTCCCCAAGCGTCTGAATTCCGTTCCCAGCATCCATGTCAGGCAGAGATCACTGCTTGCAATGCTCCCTTAAAGGGAATCCAATGCCTGCTCCTGGCTAAGGAACTGATTGCAGCATGTTTTCAAAACCTATCTAACATTAGAAAACACTTCTTATGAGTGTTCCCAGCATTCGGGAGGCAGAGGCAGGCGGGTCTCTATGAGTTCCTGATCTACAGAGTGAGTTCCAAAGTTCCAGGGCTACACAGAGAAACCTTGTCTTCCAGGACAGCCTCCAAAGCTACAGAGAAAAGAAAGAAAAGAAGAAGAAACCCTGTCTTGATTAAAACAAAACCAAGCCAAACCAATAAATAAATAAAATAAAATAAAAAGAAATCCCTGAGAATTGTGACACACAGCCTCAGTCACCACACTTGGGGAGGAAGAGTGCAGGGCATGAGGACGCAGACCTCAAGGACAGCTGGAGTACATGAAGTCCTGCCTCAGATGCACATTTTTAAAAACAAAGGACAATTACACAATTTTTCAAAAACTTTAAAAATATGTGAAAGCCACTTTGGGAAAAGCCAGGTGAAACTTGCCAGCCCATCCCACCACGGGGTGTTATTTTTCTCTATTTCATACCCGGGGCTTAGATCCTGTGTTCTTTTCTGACACTGAGAGTGATTTGGGGACTGAAGCTATGGCTGCCAGGTAGAACCCAGCACTGGAAAACAATACTCATTTGGAAGCAGACATTTTCCTCGTTCGTTTCAGACTATCACTATGAGAAAGAAAACCCTCCAACAGACAATTTCACATCATCTGGTATACAATACACACGTCCTTTGTCATCTGGTCAGAATGTCTATATTCCAACAAAGGATTTTTGTTCCTAAGTTTCCCGACCAGGAAATTTATTACATACCTGCAGAAAAAATGCAACAAAGCAGGAGACATAGGGACATTAGGGGAACAAGATATAATACTGTATATCATATTGGTCAAAACTACAACCCAAATCTAAACGCCTTTCTTGTTTTCGGTATGGCATGATATGCAGCACGGACTTGGATTTAAGGTCCATATTTGAGTAAAACGCTGGTGGTTTCTTACCTTTTTCCTCCTCTGAAGAGAGCTCCTCTATTGGCTCAAGTACATGTGACGAGAAGGCCTGCTCTGTTCGTGAGGACAGAAAGGAGTGATACAAACATGTTCGCTTGCTTCCAAATAGTTTATATGCATATATACATATATACAAACTACTGTAGGTATACATATCCTCAGACATATTTGGCCAAAATAGCAAAGATCTACTGGTCTACTGGGATAACATGGGGGAACCACTTTTGATTTTATTGTTTTATTTCTTTCTTTCTTAAAGATCGGGTGCTACGTAGCTGAGGTTAGCCTTCAACTCTCTATGTAGTAAACGATGACCTTGACCTTGATCTTGATTCCTGTTCTCAAATGACCACATTATAAGCATGAGCTACCACGCCTGGCTGAGGTAGCTGCCACAACTGGTCACTTCTCAGAAAGTCTTCAATTTCCAGGTAATTTCTATTGGCTTCAAAGATTTTAAAACTATATATTCTAAGCACTCAAGTTAAAACCTCCCGTTCATTAATCTCTTGTGTGACACACAGAGTACAACTTCAAAAAACCCTTTCCAAGGAGCTATCTACCTAGGATAGACTATGAGACATAGAGTACCCTCAAATAAAGCAGAAGCCAGATCCTCCAAGAGGGATGTACCGGACCCGGAGGGCTCGCTCCCATTCCTGGACACCTGTCAGCACTCTGGACTGTTGGCTGGTAGTGGGCCAAGACGAAGAACTAGCAAAATGTGAGTGCGAGACAGAGGTAGGTAAGCAGCAATAAGGAGACCCATTCTTAAAGACATTCATGTCCCCAAACTCTTGTTGTGTCCTGAAGAGCCTCAAGTGAGGCTACAGGCTAGAGCTCGTCCACAGCCAGGTAAGGTGAAGAGAGCTACACTTTACCCCAGAGCTCAGCTGGAGAGTGGGAAATGACATTAGACTTCCAGTAGCAGCATGCTATCCACCTGCACAGAAAAGTCTGCCAGGAGCTCAATCAAACCAAGTTCCCACCTGGGGAAGAAGGAAAATGCCGCCTGGGGTAGGTGCTGTGACGGCATTCAGGATTTAGGCCTGGGGCAACATGGAACCATTAATGCTGGCTTACACGATACTCGGCTCACCCACCTTGGCTCAGAGATGACAAAGGACACCTTTCCACTTGACACTTTACTTTCACCTTGGTGGTTTCATTCTATCTTAGCCTTCAGAAAGTTGTTGTCTAAAAGCTTCCTCCAAGATAGAAAAATTCTGAACCTGTTGTGTAACAGTTTCCTCCAAGATAGAAACATTTTATCCTGCAGGAAGCTCCTTAAACAGGAAAGTAAACAAAATAACTCCAGGAAGTCCCTGAAACTGAGCAGACTCACCAGGCCCCTCCCTGCCAGAGAAAGCAATAAAGGCAGAGAGTCACTCCGAGACAGAGTTAAGCTGCAAAGACTCTGAGAACAGTCCAGCCGCCTGGGAGAAGCAGGAAGCAGCAGAGCTTCCCGGAAGAGGTTTAGGACAGTCACGTGGAAAGGACACCTGTTGAGCTGCCTGCCGGCTGTGCAGTGTGCTCTAGGGTCCCAGCTTCGTGAGCTGTCACCATGCTGGGGTGGGCTTTGGTGATGCAGCTGCCTGAGTCATTTCTGCTGCTCTATGTAACCCCTCCCCCATATTCCTGTAAGTATCTCCAATTAAAACTCACTGGTACACCAAATTGAACTCTGAGTTTGGTGGTATCTGTACTTTGACCTGTCATGACTCCCTACATGGGGTGAGTAGACAACCTATTTAGAGTCTCCCCAAGAAAAGTTTGTCCCACAATAAACAGGCAGTTGGCCAACAGATACTGAGTGCTCACCAGGCAGCCGGGAACGGATCTAAGTTGTTACACATCTAATACCTCCAACCTGGAAAGTCTGGCTTTTATTAATGGCTATTTCTAGTACACTATTTTGGATGGAGGTGTGGCTTCGTAAGTCAGTATATTTACATATGTATATACTATGTATGTGACTATATATATATATATGAATCAACTTTTCTTGCTTGGCTAGAAATTCAGTCAATCATCAGCTGTTTGAGAGAAATGCATTTTAAACTATCTTTTGTTTTTCTGTTTTGGTTTTTCTGTTTAGCCCTGGCTATCCTGGAATTTGCTTTGTAGATCAGGCTGGTCTTGAATTTACAGAGATCCACCTGACTCTGTCTCCTGAGTACTAGGCTTAAAGGTGTGAGGCACCATCACCACCGGACTTTAAAAGACCTTCAAATAAGCTTTGAACACTGACAATTTCTAGGTAGGAGACCACTTTAAATTTGAAATGGGCCCACAGCTCCTTGAAGGGGAATTTAAGTTCATCAGGTACCATGAAAATTTTTCAGAATTATTGTTCAGTCTTGAGATTTTAAAGTTATTTCTAACTTGAAATACCGAAATGACAGATCTGATGATAACAACTAATTTCATGATTAATTTTTTTTTCCATTTTGTTTTTATGTGTATAGGGTTTTTTGACTGCCATTTATATGTGTACTCTGTGGGCAGTGCCCATAGAAGCCAGAAGAGGGTGCCAGATCCCCAGGAAAGGAGTTGTGAGCTCCCAGGGGGTGCAGGGAATTGAACCTGGGTCCTCTAGAACATCAGCCAGTGCTGTTTAATATTGCAGCCATCTCTCCAGCCTTTATTTAAGTTTTTAAAAAGTCACATGGTAGCCAGGTCAGTTTCCTGGCCAAGGGCCACCCTCCTAGGGAGGAAGGCTCACCTTAAGCTGTGCTAATACAATGAATGGAATGACTGATGCCTTCTACTGGGGTCTAACTCAGGCTCACTGAGGGGACTCTTGCTAACTCCCTCCTCATTGCAGTTTCTTACTCCAAGACAGGGCAGAAAAAAGTCTGAAGAAGGGACTTTAAAAAGTACAGGGATTTGTAAGACAAACTAAACACGAGCCTTTTCTATCAAAGGCTAGAAGTTATGCTCCTATGACAAGGAATTCAAATCTTTTTATCTCCCCCGCCTTGTAAGACTTTTAGATACAAAAATTTACACACACACACACAGACACACAGACAGACACACACACACACAGACACACACACACACACCAATAAAACTTTATTTACACAAACATTCTGTTGAATTTGGGGACTGAAGTGGCTGGCCATTCTCTCTTCCTTACCTGTACACCATTTAAGACTAGCCAATCAAATGAGACTTTGAGGTACGATCCCGGCCAATGGGGGGAAAGACACTGTTGCCACCTGAGTTAGACTAAAAACCAAGCGCATTTCCTGTCTCTATGGTTGCTCTTCTGACTGCAGCATCTTAGACTGAGTCAAGCTCTCTCCTGCCCGCACACTAAATACACACACATCACACATATAGGTGAGATCATGTCTTGCATTTCCAATACTAAGACAAATTTGTGCAAGACCAGTATGCATTTTATCTATTACGAGTCTAAAGGAGAAAAATATCCTGTGTGTCTTGAACTCCTGGAATTAATAAAATCCGGCATGTCGGCTTCATATTGTGATTCCATACATTCGTCACAAGCCAGCTGTGGATTGAAGGGTCACCATGAAGGACCACCATGCACAGACCACAGGAGTTGGGAAGACAAAAGTCTAACTTAGTGCCACCGTGGGCTTGTTTGTCCTCCCCCTTTGCGGGTTCCAGGGATCAAACCCGGGTTACCAGGCTTGGCATCAAGCCCCTGTGGCTACAGAGGCACCTTCCTTGTCTCCTTGGTCATCTCTACAGACACCTTCTTTTCTTATTTCAGTGCGTGAGTGCGTGCATGTGTGCGTGTGCGTGTGTGCGTGTGTGTGCGTGTGTGTGTGTGTGCATGAGCACACCCGCGAGCATGTTCAGTTGTGTCAGCGTGGGTGTGGGAGCGCCATGGCGTGAATACAAAGTCAGAGGATAGTGAGTTGCAGTCCTGGCCTCTCAGCACATTTACAGCTCCCTGTGCCAGGCTGCCTGGGAGGGGGAGGGTTAGCTCAGGGACCCTTGGTCTCTGCCTCCCGTTCACCTCTGCAGTGCTCGGGGTCACAGACATGGGCTCTGGAGATCCAGACTCTAACCCCCTCCCTCCAGAGTCGTCTCAGCTGCTACTCAGCCTTTGTCTATTCTTTTAAGGGTCAGGCAACCCAGTGTGGAAGGCGGTGACCAGATTTTAGACTATTTGCAGACAAGACAGGGATGACGTATGTTCCTCTGTGACACAGGAGAGCTATGTTTCGTTAGCTAATGAGTGTGCATGTTTCCTGTAGCACGTGGGAAAACACAGAATGCCCTGTGGTGTGTGCTGGGTGGCTGGTCTTCCCCGGGACCTACCACCTTCTGCAAAGAGCGTACATAAATGAAGCATCAAAGTTGAAAGCGCTACTGGTTAGCCCAACAAGAAACTCACGTGCTTTATGGCTTTGGCAGCTCGTTGGGTTTTCAGTCGTGTTCTCTGTGAAGACAGAAGTTTCACTAACTGTTTCAGAGTTACCAAAGTGCTCCCTGGTTTATACAATCGGACCCTGCCGGCCGTCTGGGTTAACAAATTATCTAACTCGGGGCGAGAACTGCACCTGAAACGTGGCCCCGCCCTTGTTGAAACCTACCATGCACCATGGCCAGGCTGGATGCGCCATCCAGAGTCTGAGTGGCAGGGGCACCCACTGAAACAGAACAAGAGGAAACGCTCACTGGCCTGGCCGTTGCGGCTTAAGCATCTGACCACACACCCTCCAAAGGATACAGGCAGCCCACAGGAAGCCAGCGTCTCAAACAAACAGATGCTATCTATCCATTTGGTTTAATTTAACTTTTTAATAATTTTATTATTTTGAGGTGTCCGGGGATAAAGCCAGAGCCTGTGCGTGCTGGTGAAGCACACTACCAGCAAACCTTTAAACATTAGCTTTATTGGGAGATAATCACTCAAGTGTGTGTGTGTGTGTGTGTGTGTGTGTGTGTAGCTTTTACGACAGTCGCAGGACTGTGTGGCAAATCACTAGCTAATCCCTAAAGATGTAAATCCCTCTGTCTTTCTAAGATTTCACGACTCCTATCTCAGCATCCTTCAAGTATCTAATTATACAGGTTTTTCCCTCCCCATTAAACAACTTACCTATTAGTTTACTATCTCTTTCTCTAGCTCATCTTTAATCCTTATCCTACCTGAAACATATTGAACATAACCTGTTACCTCTGTATACTTGTATCTTTTTACAATAAATACTGGCAAAGGCTTTCTTCTACTAATAACTGTCCATAAATGACTCAAAAATTAGAAAAATAGAACGTCTGGACTTGTTTGCAACTTGTTCAATCAAGTTTTTGCAAAAGACAGTCTGTGAAAAATATCAGGCCTGCTGATACTGAAACACAGCCAAGTTCACTGTTTCATCATCTACAAGCTGATTTTGTAATGTCACACCATGGCTGTATAGTTTTAGAAGAGCATCTTGCCATGAAAATTCAAATAGTTACTCTCTCAATACCCATTCCATTAAAAAAAAAATCACTGAAGAAAAGAAAAAAAAAACTGATCTAGATGCTACCCCAGCTAAAGTCAAAAGATGTGACTGTGTTGGAACTGGTCATCTCTCAGCATGCCTCCAAAACCACAGAGCACTCTCCCTTATGATGGAAGGACCAATGGGTCTGAAATGACTAATATCTAACCCTGATCACACCAGGCTCCTTCTAACTGACAAACTTCACTCCTGATAATAGCAGGGAAGTTAATCTGTCCCAGAAGACTGACCATAGTCTGCAAAACTGAGAAGCACCTGGTGGTCTACAGATCTGACCACTGAGAAGCACCTGGTGGGCCACAGATCTGACCTTACACACTGGGCACCAGAAAGCCTCCATCTTGTCAGGGGTGGATCAGATTTACTGATCATGTCACTCCAATGCTGACCTTTCCATTATTATTTGGATTTTGTCATCTGAAACTGTAGGGTATGTGTTGTCTTTCATGAAGAGAACCTCACTGTCATCCCTAGAACCTGGAACTTTTAGATCTTTCTCCAAGCCAGAGGAGGGATTGGGGGTGAGGAAGCCGCCCTCGAGGAACCCCTTCTATGGGCTATGGACCACCCCCAATTCTCCTAACCCCAGGGACATCCATACTTTTCCTTACCACATGTACCATCGGTGAAATTTACATCTACCTCCTTAGGTAAATTTACACAAACAACCATGTAAACGTTATATTCATTTTAAGACAAAAATATTTGAAAATTTGAGGAATGAATTTTTTAATATATCAAAATCGTAATCACTGATTTCTCATATCCCACTGGATATGGCTGTCCATCCTAGACTACCTGGACTCTCCACTTGGAGAAAGTCGCTCCAAAGACATCTTGCCGTTGTTTTCTTCTTCTCTTTTCTGCTTCTGCATTTGGCGATATTTCCTTTGTTAATTGTTCTTTTAACTTTCCACCACCCCTCCCTGAAGTGTGCCTTTTATTTCCCGAGTCTAGGTCCTCTCTTAGCACCGAGCTCCCCCTCTTCTCACGACCTTCCTATCTCTCTGGCTTTGGGAGGCTTCAGAGAGGAAGCCCCTGTACAGACGTCAGTGACTACTATCCGCCAAGTCCCTAAGCACCCGGGTGACGGATGGGCGTCAGTCACCACAAGGTCCACTCCTGGCCATGTGAGTGGCGTCAGCTCCGTGGCCAGTCTCAGTCCTGGGTCCACCGCTGCTCCAAAGCCCGGTGCACACAGGACATCTGACTGTCCCTCACGAGTATCGCATGCTCTCTGACTTCCTCTATCCAGAGTTCTTTTCTTTTCCTTTCAGAAATAAAAATATTTAGATTATTTCACTATCATTGAAAAATAAAAGGTATGGCCAGGCATTGGTGCTGCACGTCTTTAGTCCCAGTACACGGGAGGCACAGGCAGATGGATCTCTGTGAGTTCGAGGCCAGCCTGGTCTACAGAGCGAGTTCCAGGAAAGGCTCCAAAGCAATACAGAGAAACCCTGTCTTGAAAAACAAAGCAACGCAAAAAAAAAAAAGCAAAGCAAAAAAGAAGTATGAAAATATCACATTGTGTGTGTGTGTGTGTGTGTGTGTGTGTGCGCACGCATATGCTAGGATCTGAATTCCAGTCCTCATAACTGCTTGTAACCTCTGAGCTATCTCTCTAGCTTATCTTTTGTTTGTTTATTTTTTTGAGACACAGTTTCTCTGTATAGGCCTGGCTGTCCTGGAACTCGCTCTGTAGACCAGGCTGCCCTTGAACTCAGAGATCCGCCTGCCTCTGCCTCCTGAGTGCTGGGATTAAAGGTGTGCCCCATCATTCCCGCTCTCCGCTGTATCTTTTAAGATGGGATCTCTGAACCCAGAGCTTGCAGACTTGGCCAGACTGGTTAGCTAAAGAGCCCCAGAGATTCCTGTCTCCACCCCCAGGCCTGGGAACACAGACTTACTGTGCCCAGCTTACCCCTTGCTTGTCCCTGAGTGCGGGAGATCAAACTCAGGTCCTAAGGCTTGCATAGCAAAGACTTTACTGCGCAGCCCTCTCCCTGGTCTCCAGATCTCATCATCTTGTTGGCTTACAACTGCACCTTGACAAATCTAGGCCCTAGATCAGATGCCCACGCTTATCACAGGTAAGGACGGGGGTGGGAGGGGCCTACCTACCAAAATCCTCAGCATCCGGTCCTAGTCATGTCAGAGTGGCCTCTTCCCGCGGTCTCTTGGGAAATCCCCAAGTGTGAACTTGTGTGAAGCCAACATGTTTACCCTTTCTTTTAGAAGTCAAAGTGCCGAATAACAACTAAGCAAGATCTGCAAGATCTACAGCCTTGGGTTACGGGGCTGAGTCAAAGCCAGAACCAAAATGGATCACATGCCATCACCAAACACATTGTTTCCGAGAAAAAGTCCCTAGAAAAAGAAGTAGGCATGAGAAATGATCACGGGGCTGTCTCAGACCCGGAAGCTACACAGACACTTACTGGGTGCAGCAGGGCCCGCGGGTTTAGAGTCCACTGCTTGCCAGGTTAGAGGATTCCCTGAAATGACAAAAATGTAAGTAAAAGTGAAAACTGTAACACAGGAGCAAGTTTTCCTCAATTCTGCCTCCAAAAGAGCCATCGGAAAAGCTGTGCGACACAGAGCACCTGGCTCTGGGTAGTAGGCTTGGCTCGAGTCCTTTTAACGTTCATTTTTTAAAATAACTTCCGGTCAACTATATTTAAATAAGCATTGATTCATACCTCTTATCACTTGAGCTCTCGTCATTCTAAGAGAAGTTAAAGGAGGTCACAAACCTACCTCCTTTTTTAATTTATTTATCCCATAAAGAGATGGAAGGAAATTCAGCTTGTGTGTCTCATTACCAAACCAGCTTGTGTCCTTTACGATCTGAGCCACGCCAGGGCCAAGCCTGGGATCCTGGGGCAGAAGCCTGGGCAGAAGTCTAGACTTAGGTGCACTTGCCCTTCTGATCCAGACGGTGCCTGCCGGCCAGGAGACTGCTGCGGTAGGTCACGGGTCCTGCCCACTGTGCCTAGACCCTAAGTCACTAGAGGGAGGGGAGGTGGCGAGCCTTTACAGTATTTGAGAAGTAGGGCGCTTAATGTCCAGCCTAGTAGCTAGCCCTAGGTGTGTTACTGGTGTGCTTCAAGTGAGTCGCTATCCCTTGTTGTCCTGGCATCAAAAGCTTTGGTGTGGTTTCCATGCAATCTCCAGTGTTCGAGACGAGGGTGCCTGAGGCGGGGGTTGAACTCGGACTCTTCCTAGGCCCTGTGCATCTGTGTGTATAAATTAAGAGGCGGGGCAGGACTGCAAAGACGGTTCGGTGGTTAGGGGTATTTGTTGCTCTTGCAGAGGAACTGGGATTAGTTTCCAGCACGCCCATGGCAGCTCACAACCGTCTGTCACTCCAGTTCCCTGGGGATCTGATGCCCTCTTCTGGCCTCCACACTGGTCCTGCACACGCATGGT